ACAGAAAACATTTGATGCGTTTTCAGAGTGAAACCTTCGCCTATCTAGCTCGATAAGTCAGTTATTCAAAGTATGACCTAATGTAGAGATTTAGCACTCAGTGAAGTGACCTGGAAATCACCTCTGTTTACCGGTAATTTATTTTCCACGTTCAGTGTGTGATAGCGACTTTGAAGCAATTTTCGAAAACCACCTCGTTTTTAAGGCCACAAGGTTCAATCAGACGACAGAAGTTGTCTTTTTGAGTCATTGCTATAAATTTATACACCGTTTTTTCTATAAGAATATGTTTGATAAGAATTTCGAGACTGAAACTTGCGAAATTTTCAGAATGAATCCGAGACGTAGATTTTGAAAAGAATATAGTTCTCTGTGTTGAAAATTTGTAAATGCAGCACAATTATATGTTTTTAACTAAGCCGTGCAATTCTTCCTTTCTCTAAATGGCAAAACTAGCCAAAAAAACAACAAAAACAGCACTAGCCGTATGTTCGATGCTAAAAACATTCCCGTAAGAAGTTATGTGCGTCATATATCAGACTTCATTGCCTGCAGTCTGGCACCAAAATTGCTTCAACGCCATTTCAAAAAGTCCATGATAAAAAGTCAATAAAAGGGTAGTTTCATACGTTATAATTCAAGAATATTCACAAGAGTATAATTAGCCTAAAATCTGCAAAAAAATAAAAATAATAATAAAATAATCAGCCTGGACCAGAAAAACAATATTCTTGTATCAGTAAAGAAGTGAGTGTAGGTCGGAGACAGTTGAGCTTTTTCTCCGGAAAGCGGAATTAAAACACAAAACAGAACAAATTGAAATATTCTATAACTGGGTCCAAAGAAGAAATAGAATATCACAGAGACTAACCAGTGAGTGTAGAAAACTAAAACAACATAGCCTAACCATTCGCACCTGACAATTTATAGCTTAAATATCTCTCAACATTGATTTGCTTTTGCAAAAAAAAAAAACACTTCAAAATATTTAATTAAAAAAAATTTTGATCAATAAATCAATTTCGGGAACGGTCGTTGCTTAAGGCAATATTTTAGGTTTTCTTTTCTTCCTGTTGTTCTTAAATTGTTTCCCAGAAACGTATTTTAATCAGCCTTGAACATCTTACAATTATATATCAATCTGGAAAACGGAAGTTCTGGCTGGTTAAATCAGTAATCCATTTCTAGTTACCATACGTTCATTTATCATTGGAATTTTATGCCAGATTAATGAAAGTGACCCTGTCGCGTTTATAGCCTCTGGTAATCCCTGTTTTTCTGTTGATGTTCAGGAGAGGTAGCGATGTCCTTGGGTTTCCAATCGCTTTCTTCTAACATTTACCGAGCTGACTGCCAACCTTCCCGACGAATAATTGCTCATCCTGCAAGGAGTTTGACCTTATTTTCTTACGGACTTGTTGTGGGGAACCGAGTCTCGATTCTGAAGGCATGCCTGATGCTTTAAACGGATGCAAATCGATGGTTTCTTCAAGATGACTTTGAGTTTCTTTTGCAGTGACACCGCGTTCAACTTCAATTCCTGGCCCTTTTGTAATAACCTGAACACACATCGCTGTGTTTATTTCAGTCGGTGCAACTGTCATGCGTCTCATACGAGCCTTTTCTCCACCAGCCCTCTGGTCATCATTGTTGCTGCGGTCTGTTATCAAGTTGTAGGTTCTTGATCTTGGCATGCGGTAAATGCCTTGGAGGTCATCCAATGTATGAACAAAGCAATCTTTTTCTAATTTTCTTTGTGCACTGGATGCGGGCTTTTTCAACTTTAATATCTCTAAAAATGCGTCCCTGAAGCGGCGATCTCTATAGCAATAAAGAACAGGATTGAAAACAGAGTTGAGCTGAGCCAGCATCACCGACCAACGGAAAAACGAGCTTCTGCGAAGTGAGGGGAAAATCTCTCCGAAGAGCAGGAAGGCTAACGACGGAATGAACGAAATTAGCACCACCACTGTTAGGATGGCTGTCGTTTTGGCAACTTTCGTGGCCAACTTAGCTTTGATCAGACAAGAGAGCTCCCTGATTTTCTCGGTTTCCCATTGGCGCATACCGTAATAAACTCGTATGTAGAAATAGCCTAGTAGCGCGATGCAAACAGTTCCCGGGAGAACGCAAGCTATGTCGACGAACAGAATGTACTTGTACTCGACACTGGCGATTTTCATTATGCTTGGTGAAATTGGAACCGACACGGCCAACAGCCAAGCAATTCTTGCAAACTTCTTAACCCGGCTTTTGGTAACGATAACTTTATAATCTTCCCATTTTCGTATGGCCACGTTCCTCTCCCAAGCAATTACAGTGAGATGATACACAGACGAACAACTACCGACATACAATACCATGTCGTTCACGAAAGCTATTCCACAAAAAACTCCGGCGTCTAGATACTTGGCAAGGACTAACACATCTGAAATGATGGTAAATGGCATGGAGACAGCACCCACTAAAACACCAGCTACCGCCATGCTTGCCAACAGAATGTTCGAGTTGATGTTTTGCAAGTCCCGTCTCCTTTTTACGGCTATGATAACTAAAATGTTTAGAAGAATGGTAACCGGACAAATGATGATTGTAGCCGCTGCGGTTATCTTGAACGAGGCTGTGTCCCTTAAAACCCATGTTTGTATTGGTGGACAAAATAACTCGGACGAAACGAGGCTCGAAGTATCCGTGGTTAGATCTGTATTGCTAGAGTTCATCTTGATGTCAGATCAGGCACAAGAGACAAGGAAAGACAGATCAGCAGCGTTAAGTACTCACTGTGAAGTCACAACCGTAATATTGGATTACTCCCTTGGTTATGTGAGTGATCATCTTTCATCTGTAGATGTCATACGTCAAATTCGAACAATCATGCGCAGTTAGTAATCAAAGAGTTAGGAGCTTGTTTTTGTGAAAAACGTTCAGTACGTGTTTTCAGCAGCTGTTTGAGAATATTTTTCTTGTGTCCGCTCTTCCGAAAGATATCTGTTATGTAAATAAGTGTTAGCGCTTGAGCAATAATACTGAAATCTCTTTCCGCCTATCTCCTTCGGGAATAAATTGCATTTACGTAACAAAAAACAAAGCATGAAAATAATTCTAATAATGTTAAATACCTTTTTATTTCAGTGCCAAATGTATTTAGCAATGTTGCGCTAATTGGGGAGGCTATAAAAATAAACAACCAAACATTGTAAATGGAACATAAACTATTAAAAATTCCAACTGGTGGGAGGTGGAAGACTTGGCTATTTACACAACGCGGTCGAGGAGTTGAATTTAGGACTACCGAGAACAAATCCAGATAGCGGTTAGGCTGCGAGCAGGCTGTCGTCGGAGCACAAGCGCGCGGCGTAGCCACGAGCGCGAAATCGAGTGGCGAAGCCGCGAGACGAGACAATCACATTTTTGGGGCCTCTTCACTAGACTCCTTCCCAGCGAATCGCTTTGCTCTTCGCCGCTCGCGCTCGTGACTCAAAGGTGAGCCTACTCGCAGCCTAGATAGCGGTAGGGTGGAGGATTTGAACTAGGGACCTCCAGATTTCAAATCGAGCGCCCTAAACCACTCGGCCAAACCGTCTCTCGGTTGCGATAATGCTGCGATATATAATATACTGAAACCAGCCGAAGGAAAGGCCTGTAGTAGAGCACACTCGTACTATTAGATTCAAAGATCTGCCTCCAAACTATTTTTTTTAAACCCAAAATATGCGCAGAATAAAGGTTGAAATGTATTACAGTAATAAAATGTCTAAATATCACAATAAAAGTCAGGAGATAAAAAGTAAAAATGATAAATCAGTAAACTAAATGGGTTCTGAATGTTGGGGTGTTATGGCCGTACTTAGTTACGAAGCAAAACGACTAATGCGATTATCTGGATTTAATTTTTTACACTATAAGCACCATACACGCTGTATTTAACCTTGATTGCTGTATATTCCCAAGGGAGCCTTCACACCCAAATGCCTCAGGCTAATTAGGGACGGACCATTAAAAAAGTGATGGGGGATGGGGATGTGAAAAAAAAAAACTCATGCCAGGGCCCTAGCGAAATAGGCCCTTTGGTCCCATATTTGTTACTGGACGGCCACTCACAGAATCATAGCTAAAACCTTGATTCACTGCATGCCAAGAATGAATTTTATTACAAAGGGAATGAATAAAGAGAATCGATATTTCCCTAAACACCAAACAAAAAATACAATGCAGCCTCATCAGTTAGGCAATAATATCACTTAAATGTGTCTGATACTTGGTTATGTCCCCCCGCCTCCCCGCCATCATTTCTCTAATGGTCCATTCCCCAAGGCCCTGTCCACGCTAAGCCGGAAGAATTTGAAAACGGAGGTTTCACTCTGGGCTATTCTGGAAACGCATCATTTTTTTTTTTTCCCGTCCACATTAAAACTTTGAAAACGCAACAGTCACTGGTCATTTTGCATTTGTGTTTGCATGAAACTTTTCCGGGGAAATCGTGACCCAATCGTTACTTTTACGAAAAGCTTCGGTTGCAAAATGTTTTCCGTCCACATTACAACACAAAGCCGACGTTTTCAAATTCCCCCGGATTGAACAGCGTTTTCGAAAAGTTCCGCCGGTTTTCGTGACGGATTAGTGTGGACGGTAGGCACCGGAGAAATAAGGCTCCGTTTTCAAATTCCTCCGGCGTAGTGTGGATGTGACCAACGTCATGGAAACAAGCTAGCGAGCAGGAAATACAGGTCATCGCACGTGCAAGACGACAACAGAAGACTGTCGGCGGTTAAAAAAAGAGAAAAATAAATAAATAAAATTAAACTGGGGATAGTAAACACTGCTATACGCGGAGGATGACGGGGAATACCGTAGAATTCCGAAAGTAACGGCCCCCGTTACTTTCGGATTTAGCAGGCAAAAGGGGTCGCTACTCTCGTGTAGCCGTTACTTTCGGGCAGCCGTTACTTTCGGATGGTTAAAAAACACTGGTACGTTTTAAACAAAGCGGACGCCGCGTATCATGAAATTAAAAGTTTCGTTTATGTATGTTACTAATTACTGTACCCACATAGACAAAGCAGACTGCATAGCGAGAAGTCCCTTAATGTTGGCATTGCAAGGCGAAAGTATAATGGTTGCATTATATCTTGATGTGTCTAATGGTACTGTATCATTTGACCCTGCTGCCAGACAGGTACACCTTATGAATTATAGTTTCAAGATAGATTCATGCACTTAAGTTCGATATAAACCCAGAAATAAATAACTCTTTAAGTAGTTCAGTCCTGCAGTAAGGCTGATCCATCTGTGTTGCGCTTGAGATCAGATTTTCTTTTCTATTGACTTCTTCAAAGGGCCGCTACTTTCGGGTGGGCTGTTACTCTCGGTGGACCGTTTCTTTCGGGCTTCAATAGGAATGTAAAAAAAATTAACGTTACTTTCCGGGAGCCGTTATTTTCCGGGAAGGGGGCCGTTACTTTCGAAATTCTACAGTAAAAGATAATAGGCCATTTTCCGAGTTACCTTGTGTCTCTGTTTCAAAACGAGTGTTCGTGCAAAACCTTTCATTTGTTCGTTGGTTACGGAACGGAGTTAGAACCAATTTGTTTAGAAACACTTTGGTATGTCTGAAGAGAAACACGATCACTGAGCTAACATATCGTAAAGAATTTGTTACTTACTGTTAAAAGATAGGTAAAGATGATTATTACCCGGGGGGGCTCCGATATAAAAATGTCTGGGGGGCTCGTCGTGCCTTTTAAGGGGAGGGTCTACATGAATTTAAGTGAAGTTTAGGGAAGTTTAAAGAGGGATTAAAAGGAAAAAAGTTTTAGAATACCACCAGACAGTTGAACGCCATCCGAAAGGGTACCCCGGGTTGGGGCACAACTGTTTGGTGTACGTTTACCAATTTTTAACTTCAAATTATAATTTTAAAACAACATGAAATCTTCAAAATGTCCTATTTCCAGAAAATTTTGCTAATCCTTTGAGAAATCTATTTATCCCCACATATACCCAAAACTCACCAAAAAATTTACAAAACAGCCCAAAACGTAGATATGTGGGATGAGCAAAGAGATTTTTGACTGCTTGAAACGTGAACGAGATATTTGTGTTGAAGCCATAATACCCAGCCAAAAACCGGCCTTCATGTTAACTCCCGCCTTAAGGGTTAAAAAAGCAGTTTTGGTACTTCTCAGAGTGTCCAGCTTCAAAAGTTCCACAGCGAGAGCTTTTTCGGTACCTTTTAGGGCATTGAACCGAAAAAAAAATTGACAGGAGGTAATGGATTGTTTAAAAATTGGTACCTCTTAGGGGGGAAAAGATTTCAAGCCACACCCACATAACAGGATCTTGCCACCACTTAGTAGTTCTTTTCAGACTTCCCGACGAGCACCCCCGTCCTTTTTTATATGGGAGTACCCCGCGGGGATTATCGTCCTACTACTAGAGCCGTTTCGTTTTCAGGAGAAAACGAAAGCGGTCTACCGTTTCGAATGAGCAAAATATGGCGGTTTATGGAATGTACGACCCCCAATAATATATGAGACTGTGTATTAAGTGTCGGTGGAATTTCTAACGTTCTTGATAGTAAATCGAAATCCGACTAGCGCCCTCCATTTCCACCGGAGGACTAACGTTATGTGTGTTCATTGAACTTTGGTTTCCGTTATTATTTGATTGCATGGGATAAACACGCCCTGAATATTTCCCGAAAAACTGGCAAAGCGTCCGCCGAAAGTCAGGGAACCGACAGCTGTAAATGATTAGATTCATGAACGAATTGCTGTAATGAAGAAGTTTAATGGCGTGAATGGTATTTATCCTCACTTTCTTTTGGCAGGGAATGCAAAAGAACAGCGTGATGTTCAGTAAATGAAAAGGCAGCCAAGTAATGAAGAAGACACCGGTAACAATGGCTAGTGTTAAGAGGAGTTTTTGCTCTCGTTCCATCGACACTCGACTGTTTCTTCGACGGTCGCTAAGCTCTAGCTGACGAGCCCGCACTTTGTACCAGACTGCGGTGTACGTAGCAAGCATCACAACCAGGACAAATGAGAGCGCAAACATCATGCTGTAGAAAAAGACCGTAAAATCGACGATTTTGTGCTCGGTTAAAACATGAAGCAGCACTTGTAGCGAGGATAGGAACCAACAAACTAGAACAGCCGCAAAGTAAGGATATTTTCCCATCGCTCGATGCCTGTGTGGCCAGAACACAGAAAACGCTCGCTCCAGGCCGATTACAGACAAGCTGAACAGTGACGCAAAGCCAGTTAACAGATCAACAGCTTCGTATGAGATGACGAAAGTGCTATTCTGCGCTATGATGCTTTGTGGCCACTGGAACACCATGTACATGGGAACGGCAACAGCACCCACGAGCAGGTCAGCGACTGCTAAGTTAATCAGTAGAAGGCTTGTGCGCATGCGGCGAAGTCTTGAATTGTTGAGGAACACTGCTATGGAGAGTGAGTTCCCAACGATGGTGAACACAGCTAGGCTACTGTACAGAACTGACCAAGTTACACGCTCCGAGGCTGACGTGTGCATCGTCATCGCAAACTAGAAACATCTGACAATAAACAACAATCTGGAAAATTTAAAATAACAGTTGATTAATATTAAGTACCGTTCGTTTCCACAGGCTACGCTTCAAGCGTGTTGCACCTAATCGCACCCTCAATTTGCGCGCAATCAAAAGGAGGAATCAACATGACCAAGGATGTAATACCTATTATACTTCCGGAAATTTAATTAATTTGCAAAAAAAACGAAAAAACAAAAATGATATGAGACCAACGCAAAGAAGGAAATATCCCTGCGGTCTAGTTCAATATTTGATTCCGGCCTAAAACTGGGAAATGCTGCAGAATATAGCATTTTTACAGAAAAAAATAGTTCTGGGGTATATCCGCTAAACCTAACTAAGTGGGCAAAACACGAAAACCGCCCAGCTGCTTTCTTAGGCGTGTGCATTTGCGCTAATGTAAAAGTTTCAAAAACATGATTGTAAAATCGTGGGAAATGAGTCTTCATTGAGGACCCGAATTTCAACTAAACACAGGCTATATTTACCGGCGCAAACAGAAAGTTTGTAAAACAACCTGTCAAGGGCTAGTCGCTTGAGCTGAGAGAAGTCGCATGTTCTCACCATTGCAGCTTGCATCCGAGATTTCGTTTGTGCTTTAAACCGAACTTGACGCCAGTAATATATTTGCATGTCAGCGAACTCGGGTTCGAAATGATAAAATCGCTGCCTGATTAAAATTGGATGGCAGTTATCAGTCACAGACTTAAAAACAACTAAAACGTTCGGTTTTATCTGCTTTGGATTAGATTACTTGAAAGAACGAACATAGAACGTACGTGCAAGGAGCTACATTTAGATGAGGAAGTTCTATTTAGCGAAAGAGTTTAATTCCACGAACGTAAATTTACGGATTATATGTTATGAAACAAACATCGTGGATGTCAGCATGGTTATAGGCTGATCAATCTCTAGCCATCCATTAACACTGTCGAAAGCTTTACATGTAATTTTTAGCTGAGTCATACTATAAATCTGTTTCTAAGTTTTCTCGGACCAACAATCCCCTCCGACTAGCACGGCCTGGCTATCAACAACACCTTTCTAAATTAGCTTAGGGCAAGCTAAAGAACATGTCTTTGTACAGATCTCTCCTGTTTTTGTTTCCCAGGCAAGAGTGCCCGTGTACGTGTGCTCGTCTGAAGCATTGCCGTAAACGTCGGAGCTGTACAGATTTGTACATGTAGAGTAGTCCGCTCCCACCACCGCAAGCTTAATTTAAATCCAGATATCGATCGATTTCGTGCTTTTTCTTATCTACTTGTGTTAAAGGGGAATTGTGATATGATATTATCATCTGTACTCCTTTCTCTTATCCCGGATATCCAAAACGGTAAACATGTCAATGATTGTGGGGCAACAACAGTAGCATCTACCTATTTGTCTGACTTGTTTTTTTTCTTTTTCTAATTTCGCTCGTTCGGACTTCGGGGAATCGCTCTGATAGCAGTTTCTCTGCACATCCCCCTTACCTTCACAGTTTCTCAAAACCAAGTATTCTGCATAGCTACCTCGATCAGAATTGACTCGGAGCCGGCCGGATGAGCCCCTCACTGTTGAAGCAACATGTATCATATGTAAAAGAAAGCAAGTTACCTTTTGTACGTCGGGCCGTCGTTTTGTTGTATGTTGGTGATGTTTTTTATGGTCTCGTGATAAACGAGATTCTCAGTCCTCGTGCAATGGTTATCTCTATCAATCTTCTCACTTCAGTACACTTTTTGTTATGATATACAGTTTTTGATTTTCGAATCGCCGCTCGTTGTTTTATGACCTCGAGGTTCTGCAGTATCAGACGGCTGCTCTGAAACTACAGAATTGTCTTTTTCAGAGATATCATAAATTGACAGGTCCCCTCGGTGACAGATAAGGTTTTTCTTCCGGCAAGTTCAGGTCACTATAATGACAACTCAAAACAGGAGAGTTATCTTTTCAGATTAGATAAATGAATTCAACGTGAAACCAAAAATTGAGCGAAAGTCGCGGAGACTAATCAGAGAGGGTTAAGAGTTTAAATAGCTTCGCATTCTAACCGTTCGTTCTACGAAGTTCTCAAAATTGAATTGCTCTCACAGAAATCACTTAAGTTAAGTATTTAAAAAGAATTATGCATTGATAAATTAATTTTAAGGGGGAGGTGGTCAGTAAGGCGTTATTTCAATTAAAGGCTTTCATTTGTTTTTATTGCTCTTAAATTTGATCTACCGACAGTGAGTAATAAATCAAAGCAGTTTAATCAATCTTAAACATTTCCTAATTAATTTTAAACTCGAAAACGGAAGTTGCACCAGGAAGGTTGGTAATTCCTTTCGTGTGATTATACGTCCCGATTTTTTAAAAAATATTCACGTTTCGAAAGTCTTCTATTGACCAGAATCAAAATTAAAGGGCGTAAAACCGAGCTTATTTGAACAAGGATTTTTCTAAGTACATAAAGCTCTATAAAAGCCTTAAGTGTACGGCTCAAAAAAGTCCAACGACAGTTTTTCATTATTGTAAGTCTCGACAAAAAGTGCATTGTAGAAAGTACTAATCTAACAGACTGTCATTTTTTCTTCACTAAATAATTGTTGTAAGAACGAGTTTCCTTGCAATGAATGTTTCTATAGAACTTGCCATGACAATTTGACATGCGAGTTCTACAAATGTTATTAAAATCTTCCGAACTATTTTCTGCTTTTGTAAACATTTGTCAAACGTTAGCAATTCACCTCGAGAGGGTATTCATGTCTGTGACTACACGCATAATCCTCTTCAATTACAATACAAGGTTTCTTTTTGTGCTTTTTTTTGTTCAAAAAAGGATTAAAAAAAGAAAAATAAGGTGTCGTAAAAATAAATTGTGATGGCCTTTACAGATCCTCTCGATCTGCATCTTTGATATTCTCAAAACTAGACGAAAAACGTGTGGCCAGAAATCACGACATTCATATAATGAAACTTCAGCTGTACTAAGTAAACAAAGAAATGAAAAGCTTGCGAGTGAAATTTAGATAAAAGGGCCTATAACAATTCCAGAAAAAAAAGCTACAAAGCTATAAGAAGACCACTTGAGTAAGTTTCAGAAGAAGCGTTTCGAATTTTATCCCGAGAAAAGAACCACTTGAACAGATAGGGCGAATATTCCAAATAGACTCTTAAATTCATTACAGCTGTAGTGGATTTACTTTCGAAAGGCTGATATAAACGCATTGTCTTTTATCAAAGAAAAGTTTCTCTTTTCTTACTTTTTTTACATGAATGCACAGAACCCATAAGATGTTTCGGAAATTTTAAGCTGTTCGCTGTTTCATACAGTTTCCACTCAGTGTCGATTTATAGCGATTTATGGCAACAAAAATAAACTGAGCATCTGGGCGGGTTATTTACGGCATAACCTCTGTAGAAGCAACTATTTTATTTGTGTTGAAATCCTTTATTTTTTTTCTTTTTCAATGCAACTTCCTTTTTCCTAGCGGCGCTATTTTCGGATAGATTCATCTTGCTGTTGACAAGCATTCATTAAAAATCCGTATTTAGAACAAAATCCATTACAGCTGAATGATTTGAAACCAGTAATCAATATTGCTTTAAGCTTTTAAGCCAGTTTTCAATATCCATTAGTTCGATATTAGGGCACATTCGCTCACGGGGACCCGATCTGGCATAAAAATAATTTCACCTGGAATAACGTACGTACGTGAATTTTTGTTTGGAGATATTCCCATTTCAGAACACTTAGATTTCTATTCGGGCTACGCTAATAGCTTATTTTCAACGGTTTCGGCTTTTTTTTCCATCAGGGGAAAACTGAATGTTTAGACAAAATATTGCCTTGGCTTACTGCAGCGGGAACATTGAATATTCCAAATCTGCATAGTGGAATCTAAATTGCTGTGTTCAGTACGCTAAGTCAGAGCTCTAAAACGTTTCTTATCCACAAAATTCTCAAATATAGAACTGAATCGAATTTCACCGCCAATAAACAATATGTAATTAAAGATTTAAACGGTATATGAACGTGAATCGCGAGGTATCTTAAAATAGACAAAATAACGTTGCATCAGAATAAAAGCATAGTCAATGGTTCATGAAAATTTAAAGTAATCAATTTATGAAAATTACTGACTTAACCGCAACATTTAAGTTCACAATATTGAGAAAATCGATAAGCCGCATAGTTGAAACACCTTTAGCAGGTCCGAATCGCAAACGTTTACCATACGGCTGCGAGAAGTCGTAATTGCTCTGTAGCAGGTGTATCATGAAATAACATTTCGTAAATGTATCGAGGATGGGTCATGCTTTCTCACAAAATAAGACGATCTCAAATCTCACTCACCAACCTCACTCTCACGTTCTCCCTGCAAACGCAAAATCGGGCAGGATCCAGCGAATTAAAAAGAGTACCTTCCTCTGCAGCAATAAGGCAGATGTTCACTGAGGAGTTTACCAAGGGATGTTGGTGAGGAACACCTACATGAATGTATTTCAATGTATTTGAAGCTTGTTTGCTATTGAATTAATAAACAGCATGCAACGCGCGCGGCCCACACCGACCCCTTCAATTTAGCATGTGGTACCCAGACTCTCGCGTTCTTTAGCCTCGTGGGACCTTTTTCAGATTGTCAATTGTTTTGAGGCTGCAGTTGCAAACGGCATTGACATTACTTACACTCGTCTCCGACGTTATTTGTGCTCTAAAAAAATGGGGGCTGGAAACAGGTAAGGTGTTCTATGTGTTACTACTTTGAAATTTTCTTGCAGCCTTCAAGAAACAGCAGAGGTGAAAACAAACCGAAAATACACTAGGATAGCCAGACCGAGGAAAATCGAAAAGGGGAATTAATGACTGACGTAATAGGTTGAATTTTCCATTATACCTCTTCCGCTTCACGTTAATTACTTTCGGCATCCTTTTTGGCATATGTGTCGCAAGTCCATCCAGAGAATTTTCAACATGCAATTTACATTTCGGAATAACATCCACGGTTTTTTTTTTTTTCAACTATTCTGAACTATGGGTACGTTTGCACAGTAAAACGAGTTCCTTTTACTACCTAACTAGCAAGCTCTAGCACATTAAATAGCAACAGCATGGCCTGAACAAAAAGATTAATACATAGCCCAAAATTTGTACGAAACAGGTGTTTTAAATCATTACAGCCAAACGCAAACATGAGAGAAAGCTTAAGCGAAGTGTTTGCCTCAAGCTGCGTAAACCGACAGTGAGCAATATTTATCTGTTCCTTTTATAAAATTAAGGCAACTCCATGTTGTATACAGAGCCTTTGCGAAACAGCTCGCCATTTAATGGACGTCTGTGTTATCAGCCATTATTTTATAAACGTATTTCTTATTGAAGTGGTGTGTATAAAGTTACAATTCCAAGTGTAATATTTACATCATTTTTTATGCTACTCTTTCGTGCTCTTTTCCAATATACCTCATTAGTAGTTGTCTATTTTAAAGTCAAGAAGACGTAACAGCTAAAACGTCTAAGCTATTTAATTTTGCAAAGTCGAAGAATCGCTACACACGCGCATGTTACCCAAAAGTGTTCCTCTGAACGCAAGACACATTTAGTCCTCTGCGGAATTGTATAGCCGGGTAACCTTGTCCCAGAAGGATTTTTCCTTTCTTTTTGAACATCAGATTACCGGCTCAGTCCATTTATAGTAAGTTGCCAATGTGTTTCAAAGAAAAAAACCCCTCTACGACCAAGATAGGTGTTACCTACATGTAATCAACTTGCTTTAAAGGAGCTCCATCACGGTTTGAGCATCTTGAAAAGTTTAACTTAAATTTTTCAAATTCGTGGTTTGTAATCCGTATTAATCTTCTACATCCTTAACCATCCTTGTTCCTTTATGGTTTATCATTATCTCTTTAGTGTTTTTCTATCTTACAAAACTACTATTTTCAGGTTTCCTTCATCAAAGGTTATTTTCTACGTGGCCAAAATAACTCAAAATGCCGTGGCTGAACTCCTTTAAATGAACCTTTCTTTAGAGAAACATGGGCAATGATATCATTTTGACATAATATCTAATACTAATTCACGTTATGTGGAGTTCTATATTACCTTATAAATATAAATATATACTACATGCTCTTTTGTTTTACAGGATGCAGTTCCCCTCTTGCAGCTGGACACGTATCACGCAAGGCTCAAGATGCACTTCTGCAATTATGGGAAAACTTGAGCTGTTAAAACACAAGGCAGCATGTCTTTGTGTTCTCTGAAAGAGAAAGGAATACTCACATCAGCTTCCGAAGACATGGTTGAACCGGATAACGGTCAAAAACATCCAAAAAATATCGACTTTGATGGTTCAGTACTATTACCAGTTAGGAACACAGATTGCCAAACTCATTTATTATTCATCACGTTTAAAAAAAAAAAGGAAAAAACAGTGCAGGTAATGACCACACAATTTTCTGGACACCTGAGATATGCCAAAAGTCCACTTAAATGTGAAAACTTTTTTGAACTCCTGTGAAGGAATGCCTGTCCTTCTTCTGTCAAATTGATCTGAAAGAGCAAAACAGAAAATGTGTTCAGATCATGATGTGCTTGTTTTCCATAAAAAGTACATCCCTTTTATCATTAAAACGTCATGGTATTTAGTGCACCTTTGCCAATTGGAGATACTGAATAAACAAATATATTAAATTTTGCAGGGGTCTGTTTACAAAGTGTGGCTGCAAAGTCAAGGGCTGCAGAACACCATTCCACCACTACCAGGCCAGGATGCAACCTCCTCTCACATTTTCTTTATTTAAATATACCTTGAAATTGTAAAGCTCCTTGTTTGAGTCAGACTTCCAACAGTACATGGTTAGCACCTGCAAAACACAGCAGTATATTTATGAGGATAGGATGCAATATTGACTTGATTCAAAATCTAAGATGTACAAAATTAGTAATGTCATCATACATAAAACACAGTTCTTGGGATGAGAATGTTATGGGTCAGGTTTCCCCAGAAAAACCCATGATTACCTATTTATACTGGAGTGAAAAAAATAAATAAATAAATAAAATAAACATGGTGAGTTCCCCCATCCCTCTCTGCCCCCCCCAAAAAAACATAATGTGCTTGACTGAGGATAAGCCTGAACCTCATGATGCAGAATAAACTAACCCACCATGAACCAGGGAGGCCTGGTTGGCAGGGATTGGTTAAAAGCAAGCATGGAATGAGCACAGATACCGATCTGTCAACCTATAAGAAATTTTGAAAAAATTGTCCACTTTCAAAAGCCAGCCCTGAAATAGTTGGTTTATATCCAAATACTGATAAGGAACACATCATGACAGGAAGGTTTTTTCAACCGCATTAATATCAATGACAGGCTTGTGGCCAACCTCCCACGATTTGTCTTCAAACTTGCATTCCATTATTTCATTTTCACTTTGTATATGTATGTATACACTTATCAATACTGAACGATTTTTAGTGAAAGTTTGAGATACCTTTGATCCAGTGGAAGAAATTGAATCACGAATAAGGAAAATACCGTTCCTTTCATTTGCTGGTAAATCTCTGACTTTGCCCAGTAGAAATTCTTCAAAGTCCTAGATTGATGAAATTGAAATAAAAAAACCTGTAAATTGCTATTTTCTTACCAGTCAGTCAAGTCAGTACTCAGAAAATGAAAACTTTTTTAGAGATGGTTATCTCATGATGACAAAGTGCATTTTTAATGGAAAATGACATTTTGACTTAGACAACACTTTGGAAGGATGGTTATAAACACAGCATAGTTTTGTAATGTCTTCCCCTCAGAAGCTTGTAATCAGAGTATATTCGTTGATCTAAAGCATGGTGTTTCAGGATTCTGGAAAGCTGCAAAAATATTGTCACATTAATTGATAAAGGGAAGCCATATGTTATTTCGGCCATAGTATTCAAGGACAGATTATACTTAGCACTGGAGTATTTATTACAATCTGAATCAGACATGAAATAGCCCATACAAACACTAAAAAATTATAGTCACACTCAGACAGATCATACTGTTCTGATCCTTATCCTGTTAATATTTCCCTCTGATATTTGTATTATCTGTAAGGACTACTACACTTCTTACTTTGATGCTAAACTTCATCCCTAGCATAAACCATTCTTGAGAAGGTTATATTACTGTCAACTTACAGTTCTTGACTTGGAAACAGCTTTTGGAGTGACTGAATACTGATCAAATTTGTGTGAGCCACTTGATTCTAACAATGCTTGCTTCTCACTTGATGGTTCGTTGATTTCTTCAGGAGGAGTAGGAGGAAGAATGGGCAAGTATCTGTCATCTGGAGGGGAGCTTGCAGTAGCTTCATCAAAACAAGAGTCATCTGCTGGTTTTTCATCACCTAATAAACAAGGTTTCTCTTCGCTGGGTGTTTGGTCTCTCTGTTCATTTTCATTATCTTGTGTCTGATCTTCATCCTTATCATGCTCCAGAACAGCATACTCTGGAGAACCTTCATCACCAGTTCCTGAACTACCATCACCTCCTTCACTTGGTTTCACATCCTCATGGATCGCACTTGCAGCACTCACTTCAGGGATCATGACGCCATTTGATGGGGGCTGAGAGGCACCTTCAGGTTCAGGGCCTTCCAACACAGAATACACCGGCTCCTCAGTCACTGTTGTGTTGACATCATTTACGAGCTGCCTTGGGGGTTTGCACGGTGCCTGATTTCGGTCTTTACTATCAGGAACAGTTTGTTTTTGGATCTTAGGTATATTTGTCACAACATCTACAGAGTCATAAAACTGTCCTGGTTGATCCACACCCCTTTCTTGGCTGTCACTTGACAAGCGTGATGATCTTCTTTTATTCTCTTTTGGAGGAGGTTGGTTGTTTCCACCCCTTTGGGTTTCTGCATTAGAGGGATGACGAGTTCTATTTGCTATCAAAGCACTGCGCTGACCCAAAGAAACGTCATCATAGGTAGGAATCACACTTGCACGGCTGGACGCCACACTAGTGGTGTCTGGATGTTGGCTTAGTCTATCACCCAGACTGGTTGTAGAATCATGACTTGGAGCTAAAAACAACAGTTGAGATGGTTACTATTAATCTGCAGTATTTATCAGTGTTTCAGCCAGAAAATTTTACTTGAGGGCCAAAGTGGCCCCTGAAGATGTTTTTTAAGGGCCAATTTTTTAGGAAAGGGGCCACTAAATTGAAAGCTACAGAAGGAAAAAATGCATCAGGGTACCAAGGAAAATAAGGCAGTTCATTAGGATCTATGATGAAATTTAATAGTAAGTGCTTTTTGAAGTGTTTCTACTCAATAAAGTTTCTTTTGAATCAGATAGTAGTATGAAGGATCCGTGCATTACAAGAGAACAATCCTTAGGCATACATAACGTAGTCAATGATCAAGGGTTGCAATGCACTATAGGGCGATTTCAAACACGGTCAGCCATTTGGAAGCTTTCCGATATGAGAGAATCAATACAGCAAAGCAAAAGGACGGATTGACTTCTTTTCTTATGTTGAATGGTTTAGAAGCAAAGATCTTTCAATACGATTTCTCTAGAAGGACATAATGTGTGACAAAATAACTGTTATTGATCGTCAACACAGAGAAATGTAGTCGCCATTATGTCATATTATGGCGACTAAACCAGAATTTTTGGTCGCCAAGGATGAACTGCTTGTTGCATTGGCGACCGTATCAATCACAATTTCGAGCCCTGGGATGGCTTTTAAAATATTATGCCTGTGTTAAGCTTGGAGTCTTGTAAAGAGAAAGGGCCAAATTGGCCCTTTTTTTCATTTTTCTGGGGGCCATCTCTGATTGTAACGCGGGATTTCTGCAATGGCACGCTCTGGCGCAAACACTGATTTATGGTGTTCACCACAATTATACTTTTAGGAAGGTATGGATATCCAAACCTTCTCTCTATGATGGTTCTCCATACTAGGGCTTACTATACGGTGCTATAATATACATGTAAGTTTGCCAAGCTTCAAGAAGCATGGCATGAACTGTTTTCCTACCAACAATCCTGAGTTGAGCATGGGTGGCTGTCTAGGGAAGAGTTTAATTGTAGCATGAGTCGTTTAGTTCCACCCTGAGTCAAGTTCAAGTCAAAAGTCAAGTTAATCTCAAGTCAAGTTAAATTTTCCTTTTTTGATCTTTTGTTTTTAATTGCTGCATCAAAATGATGTACCAGAAGTACAGGAACAGCAAGATTTGATTATGAGAGTTGATACCTGCATTGGTTTGAAGTAGCTTTTCAAAGATTAAGAAGTAAACACTCCTCAGCATTTATTAATTTTCCTCACAGATTGCAGCCTCTGTTAATCATATACAACTGAGGCAGAGATTCCATTCCAACATACTTGAAAATTGAGGTACTTGTACATGTAACTGTTTTTTTACAAAAATTATGATGGATGAAAAACAACTAATGCACTCATAGGACTGGCTACTGATTTATAGAATATGAGTTTCCTGAAGAGCAACAAGTACATTCTTAAAAAAAGACTAATATACAATGTCCTTACATCTGATAGCTTGCTCCTCAACACTGCTATTTTCAGCCGTGGCTCCATAATTAGCATATCCAGCTCCTTCTTTGTAGATAGGCTGTGAAAGAAATGGACATATGAGTGTTGGACTAACTGTGAATCTAAGAAGTACTTCCTTATCAACCACAAGATGCAGTGGCTTCATGGTTAGTGCACTAATGTCTCTGTATCGAGCAGTCCAGGTTCAAGCCCTGACCGGGAAATTAGTGTTGTGTTCAGACTGAACACAGTCCTTGAGCAAGAGACTTAATTCCCACAGTGCCTCTCTCAACCCAAGTGTATAAATGCGTACCGGCTAATTTAACGCTGGGGGTAACCCTGCAATGGACAAGCATTCCATCCAGGGAAGAGCAGAAATACCCCCAGTCACTTCATGCTACAGAAACCAGAGATAAATGCTAACCTAATGGGCCACTTGGCTTGTATGCAGACTTTACCTTTACTGCATATTTATCAACTTGTTTGCCAGCATCACACAAAAAGATGAATTGTGTAGTACATGTGTATTGAAACTGTCACTGAGTTAAAATACACAATGTAATAGAGTCTCACAATAAATTATTCTTAGAAGGTTTATTGTGAAGATCATATAAAAGATCTCAGAGTTTTGGTCTAGTGATGCTTTTTAGTGTGAAGACTTTTGAAAAGTGACCTCACAGAAACATTTTGTGGCCAGTAATCGAACAAAGACCAATCAAAATTGGTTTATAATATCAGTGATAAAAATTGCAGAAAATAATATCATTAATCATTTATTAAGTACATACCATGCTTCCTATATATTTTGTGATTAGGTGTCACACAAGGCCTAAAATAATTAGTTTATTGTTGACTGGAAGTGAACTAATCACAAGAAGAAAGTAAGCTTAAGCTTTGCTTCTTTCCATAGAAGCTTAAGGTGATTCCTCACATTTGCATTGCGCATCCTTACTGCACAATTTATCGCGTCATTAGAGCGCATTCGTGCACGCGTACATTGAAAACATGGCGGATTTGCCTTGATATTGAGTTCTATCAGTTGAAAAATGGCTATAGCTCACTAACGAGCTCGGGCACCCCAAATTGTTTTCCAGTCATTTTAATCAACTAATCATTAGCTTTGCGTGAGCAAAGACTGGTCTGATTTCTATTGTTGAAAATTGAATAAATAAGGAAAATAGCAGCTGCACTGTAGTCTTTTCTATTTTGCAGTTTGATAGCTGTGGCAAGCAATTTGGTTCCAATATTTTAACAAGGATTCAGCTGTCTGTCAAAATCAAACTTAAAAAGTTTATTTGTGTCTGACACAAGTATTGACTGTAGTTTGGGGCGTGTTTTCATGAGTCTGGGCTCACAAAGAGTTTACAATAACTTGGAATGCGTTCTTCTAATAAGCATTAAATAATGCTAAAATGGGACATTTTTAATGCCTCACTGCTCCTTAACGAGCATGGGCACCCCCCTTTTCTATTTTATAATTAAAGTTCTCATATGATAAATATTCAGTGGACAAAGTTTGAACAAAAATCTATTGGCAGTTTTATTTCAAGGAAATTACCTTAAGCTAACTTTGCTTATATATTATACTATATGCATGCAGCTCAACCGTACCTGATATGGATAGGGGCTTGAGCTATCGTGGCTAATACTGCGAGTAAGACCTCTAGCTCGTTTTTTAGTCTGTATTCTCCTTTGTACGTAGCAAATGAAGGCCACAAACGGGATGCCGACAATGATGAAAGCGACCACCGCAAACAGAGCGTATGCCCAATTATTGTACTCACAGCCTGGCGAATCATCATTGTCAGTAGGTCTGGTGAGCACAGGGCAAACTGGTGATGTATGATTGCTCGCCAAGACCTCAAGCAATTTCCCCATAGTAATGCAAACACGGCACGGCACTATGTAAAAGAGAAAAAAAATTTCATTTTCCGTGTAACATTGTTCTTGTCACCACATTTCTGCGAACCAGCTGAAAAGAACGAACCGTTGAGCATATATGGACAAGGTAACGGTCAAGAATAACTCCGCTGTGCAAATATACCGTGAGCTCGATGCAAAATTAATTTCTAAAGAAGCCTCTCATTGGTTAGAGTTTCATTATTCTTCAGAGCCAATGAAAAACCCTTTTACATCTATGCGCGTTCACTCCGTGTTCAGAATTTTGCTATTTGTGAGGTTAAGAAGAAGTTAAAGATGTTTAAAAAGAAAATTCGAAGCGGCAAAGCTTTGCAAAGTGGAAGAAAAGTAGGTTTAGGTGTCGGAGGATCGCGAAATGCTAAAAGGTCGCAAGATCTACGGTCTACTCTGACTCAAAAGCAGGTGAAAAAGGCTCAAGTTAGTAGCGCGTTCACGGGCAAGTCCAAATCTAGCAGTTTGGTTGACGCGAGGCGAAAGATTTCCTCTAAGAAAAACCAGGGTAGACCTCTTGTTCGTTCCATTTCTTTGCTAGAAGAACGCAGGAAAGAACAAAGGCAAGATTTACACCAGCAGAATAGATCGTTATCGCTTTCAACTGGTGGCCAGATTCAAATCACGACAAAGCAAGAGGTCCCGCCAGACCGATCAGCCACAATGATGGGGGACTCAATCCGAATCACAGCGAAAGTCGAGCGGAGTAAAGAAGATTTGGAGCGAGAAGCAAACATAATTGCAGGGTATCTTACAATCACAGCTAGAAACGAGGCGGCGAAAAGAAAAGAGAGAGAAAACGAGGCGAAGAAGCGAGAGAGACAAAACGAAGCGAGGAAGAGAGAGCGGGAGAGGAATGCCAAGAGAAGAGACAAGGAGAAGAGGGGTCATGCATCGTACAGTCAGATGGCTGCAGAAAATGACCTCTATGCAACCAACGCCGAGGTTGACACTGGAGATGGATTAAGAGACAGTGTATTTGAGGGGAGATTGGATCATAGTCTAAAGAGCAACAGATCTCAGACAGAAAAGGGACCAATATCATCCAAACAAGAGATACCTTCAAGCTGTAGAATCACAGTCTCCAACTTACACCCATTAGTTACTCAACAAGACGTTCAAGAACTCTTTGGTGTTGTTGGTGAGTTGAGGAGTTGTAAAATGCTTGGCAGGGGAACTGCGGAGGTGGTGTATTTACGAAAAGAAGATGCTTTGTTTGCATTTAGCAGATATCATAACCGCAAACTTGATGGCCAGCCCATGCAGTGCAAGTTGATCACCCTACCATCAGCATCGCTCTATTCACCACCACCAGCCAGATTACCTCCACTGCCTCCTTTACGTGCCACCCCTGCGGCACCTTCAAGACCACCCCCGAGAAGCCTTCCTGAGGAAAAGGAACAGGGGCAAACCACTCAGAGCTCAAGACCAGTAGTCTTCAAAGTCAGGATATAATAATGTGTTAAATCGCGTTAATCTCAGTGAAACATTCTGCAATATTTTCGAAGAGTGCAGAACAACACCCCCATTACTCACATGATGCAAGTTACTCGTCATGTTTGCATGTTTTGTGAGCATGCAAGCTTGTAAAAGATTTTCATGATATTTCATGATTACGTAGAGATAATGAGCTCAGGGTTCAATTGCATTAATTACTAACCAGTTTGTCTTGTACTTCAAAACTTTTTGTACTCAAAAAATTCCAGTTGCTGATGGGCTGCATTGATTTTGTATATTTTTAATAATGAAAGCTGCTAGTTGAGGCTTGAAAAATCAAGATTTGAATGTGTTGTTTACAACGAATGGAGCAGATTTCATCGCTCCTGATTTTCAGCGGCACTGAACATCATCTTTCAGTGTTAAAATGTATGAGATTATTTCCATAACTTGAAGCAGCCATGATGAATCCCCAAAGTACATGTCCTCAGGTGTCCCTCTTTCATTGGCGCACAGTGTCTGTGGTGTTGTGGGCCTGCTGCACTTGAATGCAACCTAACCATCAAGCACAGCAGTCCTTGTTCCCTGCTCTTCAGCGACAAAACTCAGTGACACCTGGGCATGATGTAGTATGTGCTATATAACAAGGGTTTGTCATGTCAGGGTTCTTTCCCAAACATTTCACAGAACTGATGAGTAATGATTCGTTATGCAGGGAGTCTTCATTTTATAGGGGTTTGTTATATTGAGGTTCTACTGTACTGTATGAGTTGCCTATAGTTCCCAGTGGAACCCACTGCCCAAAATTTTATTATAAGACAGCTTTTTATTGCTCAATTGATGTCTTCTAAAATTTTTGGAGTGTTCAATTAGAGTATGGATTGCATTGACAAGTCTGACAAAGCCCATAGGCTAGAAAATGTTTTAGTTCATAGCAGTGGAGGAATTCCTTTGTGATGTTGGTAAAGTAAGTGCCAATGAGTTCCATGTTGGTCTGGTATGTGACACTAATTTTTCTATTCTTTGCTTGAATAAAGTTTACTGTTTAGATTGTCATGAGTACTCTATTTCAAACACAACTAATTGATGATCAATGACATCAATGAGTAATCAATCATGGGGAATCCATGAGTAATCAACTGATTATTCATTGATTTAAGCACTTAATTACTGGCCCCAAGAGAAACCTCAATGTTCCCCTCAGCTTCGCCTTGGGGAACATTGAGAGTCTCAGGGAAACAAAACTCACTGTTTCCTGCGGAGCCAGTCATTAAGTAATTAACCTCCCAGCTCAAAAATAGAAAAGAAAAAAAAACTGAAATATCGTTTGCTTGATGTTGGCTGGCACACAAATTTTGCTGCAGTATCAAGGAGCATGACCTAATTACGTGCAAGTTGAGTCAAGTGAGCTTTCCCCATTGGCATGTGACACATTCTCCCCCAATCGGAAAACATAGTTGAGTTGGTAGGTATAACAAAAATGAGTAATCAACGACTTGATGACAAATAATTTTGTGGCCTATCAATTGCTTATCAATGACATCAATTACTCATCAATGTCATTGATTATTCTTTAAAACTACTGAGTGCTCAACAATTACCCACTGATTACCCATCATCCTGCACATCTGCTACAATTTCCAGACTTTCCTGTTATAGTGCTCCATTGAAGTAAACAGGCTGATGCTTCAGATGTCATCATTATCCAGATAGGTTAAATAAAGTTTCCATTTGTGACACAAAGTTGTTTTAATTTACTTCTTTATTTTCAATTTTGTATGGTCTGAAGCTATGACATATTGATGACCGATCAATGACAAATCGATAAAAAAACTGTAGTATTCTTTCATGATTGGTATGTCAATGACTAATCAACTGATTACCCATTGATTTACTCATTGATGTCACCTACATTTATAAATGGCAAAGGTCACCCATCCTACCACGGAGTGCTGGTGCAGGTGCATGTGATCGAGTTAACATAATGCAAAGTAATACTGTGCTGTGCATGGTGCTCTTACAAAAAAAAAAAACTTATTAGTTACGTCTGATGTATAGTTTTAGTTCCTATTTTTTACCCTGTTTCTAGAACTCTGTTTAGTACATAGAACTGGGTGCAAACAAATTATTTTCTTGTTCCGAAAATTGTGTCATGTTGACTGATAACCTGCTAAATTTTGGCAGGCATGTCTCTGATCTCGGATTGCTGGGTATTTTTTTTTTAAATAGTTAACATCAGCATTAGTGCAACCATACCCCCTTTAGGACAGACTTTCATACAATTACGTATACACTGTAGGACAGTGAGGCCAAAACCATACCCCTCCTGACAGGGTATACCCATAAAGCTTATATAAGGAAATACTCTCCCCTTCTCCCATGGGGTTGTTGGGCTATAGAAGAGCTACACATTTTGCCCCTTGATCATGTGCACACTAGACCATAGTAAAACATCTACATGACACTAGAATCATAGAGTATTCAAGGCACACACTGCAATATAAACCTGGAATATTTAAGTTGAATTTGGAAAGCAGGCCCTATACTAACAGGATTTTCGAGGTGTATTTTATTTTCGTGCCACTGAATACCTTAGAATATTGCAGTATACGTGGTATTCACCAATCCATATTCAGGCCTAAATATTTGGTTTTTTACACAGTTTTAATAATTACTCTCCCGGTTTTTCTGCCTCCCACAATTTACTAAGCATCTATTTACAGCACATAAACCCTACAATTTTGTGCATTATTAAGCCTAAAATTAAGAATAATTGCCAGATTCAAGGGCAGCAGGCATGCGATTATTATCTATCAGCGACTATAGTTCACAACTAAATTTTCTCTGATTCTTATTGGTTTAAAATGATCACGTGACATGATAGCGCTCCTTGGCGGAGAGACACCATCAGCTCATAATGCCTGTCTGCGGAAAATACCCGAATGGATAGCAGTCATCTGAAAATTTTCTGTAAACAAGCGGGCTACAGAAAAAAAATTGAAAGCCAAAAAAGATCAAAACTTTGCATATTTTGGCTTTCACTCCTTTCATTTAAAAAAGTTGAAAATAATTCAATAGGATTTTTGAACAGGTGTGCAGAGGAAAATTTAGTGGTGAACAATAAAGACAATAAAGTGTTTATGTCAGCGGAGGAGGCAGTGAGGCTGAGTGGTTAGCATGTTGGACTCGCAATCCAGCAGTCCCGGGTTTGAGTCCTCAGTCTTGGACAAAATAAATGGAACATCTGGACCACCCCTCCCTCCATTTCAATGATGCCAAAATGGCACGTTTTTGCTCCTTTGCACCTTCATCATTNGGGGGATGGGGGATAATTGTTCCATTTTATTCTGTCCAAGATTGCTGCTCTGACCACTACCTGGATTTGTTTCTCAGTAACCCCAAGTTCCAATCCTTGGCCACGCTTGTAAATAGCCATCTGGTTTGCCTCCGGCCAGTTGGGATTCTTAACAATGTTATGTTCGATTTGAGTCATTTGTTTCAGTTGTTTGCTCAGCCCCACTAGTACTTGTGCTATAAACATCGCCGTGGGTAAATAAAGGTTATATGTAAATATATGTCTTGGAACTATCAGTCTGACAGTTGCCCCTTGAAAATTTGATGTTCTTAAACCTAGCATATTTGCCCTTAAAGCTTTGCATTTCAAGTAAATATTTGTATAAGAAAATCAAATTTCCTCAGGCAACTATCATCTGATAGTTCCTTGACAGAAACACTATTGTTTACATAGAAAAAAATGAGAGAAACAATCAGATTCACGCCTTTCCAACAGAACAAAAGTGGTTTCTAAAACTATTTATTAAACATACAACACCTTTGAACTTATGGAACAATGCTGGTCCAAACAACAACTTGCAGCTGAGAATGAATACAAGACAGGTTTGAAAACATGTGCATTGTTTCATAGTGTAAGCTATCTGTTATTCTCTGCCAGCTTCGTACTAATTTTAAAGTCTAAGTTATAAATATTTGTTCATAAGTACACATGCCTTAACCCAGCAGCAGTGAATAACAATTACATTTTTTTCTTAAGAAGTGGCTTGAGGGGGTGGTGCCGTTATAGGAGGAGCCAGCCTTGCAATGAAAGCTGTAAACTTGAACACAAGGGTCCGCATAAAACCTGGGCAGCGTGGATGACCTGCCATCTGTTCAGATGCTTGCCGAAGTTCAGAAAAAAGAAGTCTGAAATATATAAAAATAATTATTGACAATTTTTTGTGTGAGAATATGACTTTGGAGGAAGGAGGAAGGAGGAAGAAAAATGGCTGTGACAAATGTTAACGACTCTTCAGTAAAGAAGACACTAGCTGTCAGTGCAAGTGAATAATATTATATGAAATATCATATATATTTGAAATGCAGAGAAAGATAAGAAGACATGATTGATCATCACAGTTGCAGTTGTGAGATCAACGCATGAAAAAAATTCAGGCTTGAACGGGACTCAAACCCATGACCTCTGCAATACCGGTGCAGTGCTCTACCAACTGAACTATCAAGAAAAATGGGAGCTGGTCACATTGTGAGTTCGTAATATACCCATAGATGGTGAAGAATACAATCAAGTGAATAATTATAACATATAGATTTAGGCCAGCCTAAAAGCGTAGCTCCTGGGCCGGGTTGTTCAAAGCCCAATTAAGCTAACCCAGAAAAAGGTAGAATTTTGATTTGAGTTTTGTAACTTTGTGGTGACATTTCTGTATATTGTTTGGCCTTCTGTTTTGAGTTTTAAAAATCACCATATATGCAAAACAAAACAGCAAAAAACATTTGCATAGAAGAAAAAGTTATAATTCCATTGACTTTTAATCCTGGGTTAGCGTAAACCGGCTTCCAAACAATCCTGCCCTGTTTCCAACAAGCTAACCCATTATGAGCCCGCAATCCAATCGATAACCAGCACTTAGTCAGCGGTCTACTTCAAAAAACATGTGACCTCCACTATGAAAGATCATATATTCACATACTAGCTATCCGTGTTAGCAGAAGGATGTGCCTGTTTGCATGCAGTACATGAATGTACTGACAGTGCTTCTTTGCCACTACTTCAAGCCATATGTTGCTGTTGTTTATAATGTTCTCTTCACATTGAAGTGAGACCATAGTTACTAGTTTAAAGCAAGTTACCAAATGCCATAAGAACCACAAGTTCTGTCAATGCTATATACTTTTCAGGGAAAGTACTTGGGAAAGATTGAAAAGCATACTAGGCAAAATAAGTTTTTTCAAATACAGTATTAATATTTTTTTCTTAAAAGTGAGGAAAACAAAATACACTTACCTACAGTAGGGGTTCCGTCTGGAGGCATATCTGAATCCCAGAAATCGATAATAAACAAAGGGAATGACAATACCAACTTGACCACTGAAAATGCACATTCATACATGTAAACTGATTGAAGTGATTTCAAGTGACTAGCATTAATGTATGACATCATTGATCAACGTGCTGTATATGACATCAGTTTAACAAATAGATTCCATGTTGCCATGCATCTGTTCAGCAATAGATCACACATGATATCAAAATGCGGCAAGAATAAAAAAGTGACATAGGAGGCAATTGCTGAGTGTGTCACTGATGTTCTTACCACATTTTGACGTCTTTTAAGATCTATTACTGAACATACTCACGGAAACATGGAATCTACTTGTTTTATATAACAAAGAAACAAAAAAGAACATTAGTGATCTTATCTACATAAAATTGTGTGTGTGTCTGTCCTCCAATAGATCATCAATAAATCATATGTAAGAACCAATCAAAATGTGAGAATACTTTGACTTATTATAAATTGTGGCTTGTTTAAAATCTCATTGATGTTAGCTTTCTAGCTACATGTACTCTCAAATTAGAGTCTAAATAAAGTTTATGTATGAACATGTGCATTGGCCATTTCTTGACTTAAATGCAACTAGTTTTACAAAAATTCACTACATGCACCATTGTATCACGTTTAGAACTTAACCAATTCAAACCAGAAAATCGATACAGGTGCAACTGGAATGATGAGAAAATCTTTCTTATTTACATGGTCTTTTTCTTCGAGCCAAAGTTAAGAATTCTATGTTAGACTGATTCAGGTAATAAAAAGAAATAGTTCCTGATCTGAAAGTTTGATCATAGTTATGCATGAAATTATACACAGTCAGGTCTATGCAACTGGATAGTTATATACCTTAGCATCATTAAAATAACAGCGGGCATAAGCATGATCTCCGTGCAGGCAATGAACCTCAAAAGTCCCTGTTGATTCATTTCCACCTTTTCAATGGCCTTGCGAGCTGAGCTATAAGAGAAATAAAACAATCATTATTAAAAGATATTTGATTAGCAAGGATTCATATGTGCTGCTATCCAAGGGGAGTAGCAACACTCCTGTAACACTCAAATTACAAGTGCCATGTTATATACATGTGTGAAAGAGAGCAAACAATGACCAAGGCATGGCTGAGTTAACCATCACTCAGCAAGCACACGAAAATGACTAAAATGAAACTTGAGATTTTACCTTATTAGGGACATGTTAAGAATTCCTCCAGTTCCAAGAATCTGACATTTGGAAAGACATGTTTAAATCAAACAATCACGTTACTAACAGCCAATTTTGTGCAATGGTTGACAGCATGAAAAAGGTATTCATGAACAAATAGAAATAATCAAATGACAAATTAAAGCTGCACACTTACACTCAGTAATTTTTTAGTGAAGGAGACCGTATGAAGAAGAGCAAAAAGTGCGACAGGAATTAGGATGACTTGGTAAGAAATTTTTAGTTAAGGAAATTACATTTAATTTATTATTTTGAAATATTATTATTATTATTATTATTATTGCTATTGTTATCGTTATCGTTATTATTATTATTATTATTATTTTATTTTTTTCAATATAATATAATTATAATTATTATTATTATGGTTCCCTTACACAATGGGCCTGAACCTGTGGTAAAATGGGAACTGGGATTTGCTTACAAGTATTTTTTCACTGGGAAAATGACATTTGGGTCACTGAGACAAGGAATCATGGACAGAAAAATGGCACATTTGGGACTGGGATTTGGGAAAAAAGGCTGGGAAATGGAAAATATTATCCACCCCCTCCCCCAGCCCTTTCAGGACCCTCTAGTCTTACATGTTCTACAGTTATTGTAGTACATTCAAACCCCTCTTAAGTGGCCACCCTCGGGGTGTACTGTAAATATCTTATACCATCTTTAGTTCATGGAATCACATCAAGACAGTCATGATAAACATGTGTTTGAATGTTTTTACCACTCATCAGCTTAGTTATCACCTTCAGTCTCTTATCTGTCATCGTCTTTTCCAAAACAAAACTAAACAACAGTATTATTTTTTGGGGGTGACCGTTTAATAGGGGTAAAGAGAATAGAGAAATCTTCATTGGGGCAACCAAAAGGTGGCCACTGCTGCTTAATAGAGGTGGCCAGTTATATTAATAGGGGTTTTATTCACATTGTTCTACTGACAATAATTCTGGGACTCTGATAACTGGCCGCTTAATAAGGGGTGGCCTTTTAATAGAGATTCAACTGTGTAGAGTTTCAAACATCTCTCATCACTGCAGATTGAATCAAAGGATACTTGTGACTGGTTGAGAATTAACAAACATGATGCTGTAAAGAAGGTAATGACAGCTGTCTTCAGCAAGTAACAGTCCAAAGTACTCTCTTGAAAACTGGAATCTCTACAAGCATAAAACAGGAATAATAAAATACTGAATCATTTACTGTTAAACCTAAAATTTGGAACTTTTAATGTGTAGTAGAATGTAACTGTAACACATTATTGTATAGACCTATTAAATTTGAACATCAAAGATTTTAAAAATTTTCAATCTACACTCTGTTTTAGCCAGACATTATTCTGACTTAAAATCAGTTGGGTGCAGAGGTTCCTCTCATCTGACTCCAGAAGGGAAGAAGGCCAATGAAAATTAATCCTCAATGAAAAACAAATCTGATATACTTGCACAAGCTCCCCAATTTTTAGTTGGATTCAATTCTATTGCAATTATGATTGATAACAGGTGTAATATGTAAAAACCTTGATTTAGTTTTGAACTTTAGAATTTGTGTTATCAAACATCGCTGTGCCAACAAATATATGAAAGATCATATATTTGAACTGCAGAGAAAGATAATGAAGATATGATTGATCATCGCAGTTATACACACAACTTAAGCATGGCTGTATTACTAAGCCACCATGCACTTTCCACTGTGCAATTAACCTGTGAACACAGACGGATTTCAGCCTTTTGTTTTTCGGTAGAGTGAAACTAAAGTCTGAAATCCTTCTATGTTCACAGACTACTATGCAATATATACAATAACATTTACATCTTGACAGATCTGTAGCAAAGGCCTTATTCTAGGTATTAATATGTACAATTATTATAGACTCCCCGTCTAAACTATGATGAAAACAATAATGAATTAAAACAACTACTATGTGCACACTTACTGGAAGCCTTTGGTGGAGTCTTAAAGCTGATGTTGCAGCTGAACTGATCAACACTCTTTTATAACAGTTATAACTGAACAAGGGACTAAAAAAGAAGACAAAACAGAGGAAGGTATAGACAAGGTCAATTTAAACAAAATAAATATATATTCTACCAGTTTCTACCCAACTGCTGCTGGAGTCAAAAGAAATTGATTAGAAGTTGGACAATGGGTATCTTGTTTATAATAAATTAAAAGCATTAAATATATAGTGACCTGTTAGTGCAGTAATAAGTTAATTCCCTTTGCATAAATTATGGAACTTCAAAAAACCATAAATAATTTGCAAAATTGTTCTGCACTGCAGTACAACTTCAACATCTAGCAGTTGATAACTCCCTCAAACAAGTTTGAATCCTTTTGAACAAATATTGGTACATATATTTTTTGTCATATGCTCACTCACCCAGATACTAATTCCTGTTAAATTTAAGTTCCATCCTTATTGAAGAATATAAAATGTTTATAATTAAATTAAATTATAATGCATCTTACCTAAAAAATGGGAGCAGATAAAGAATTGAACAGATGATTGTGAAGACTCGTGTGAGCCATAATAATGAATCAATTTTGTTGTCCATCAGATATTGCTGCAATTTAGAACGTTAAAGTAAATTATTTGATTACAGTCAAATATATATACCATCCATATTTAGCAGTAATGCAAAATTTAAAGAGAGTATCTTAAATGCATAATATGTAACAGAGTTTTGGTTCAAGCAGAAATTATTATTTCGCAAATGATGTGTTGAAACTGTCTGGCAAAATGGCCTTGAGCAAATATTTTCTGGTATAAAGATACCAATTGGTACCATAAATAGGGAGAGCCATATTATAGAGAAAATCAACACAACACGAAAATTAATCGTGCAAGTCCCCTGAGTTTTAAAACATTTACGACAACTAAGCTATTTTATTAAAACTTGTGCAACGGAAGTCAGATCAGTACATTTGCACATGACCAATACGTACACCTTCATGCATCGATCGGCTACTCTATTACCGAAACTCAACGATATTTTGGAAGTAATTGTTGCGTTGATTTATTGGAAGAAATCAGATCAACACTTCAAAATCATACCGTTCACGGAATTAATTATCACGTAATAATATAAAACAATTTGCATCATTGCAAACGGCATTTTTTACTTCACCTTAAAAACACGTTTATATGCAATATATTGTAACTTCGGCAAGCGTGTGATTGAAACGACAAGTCTCTCTGATACGTTTCTTTAAAAGACTACACATAATATATAATTTTTAATGGATATAGACTTGAATCCAGAACACAATTATTAAAACCTGTTGTGGCTGAAAGAAAACTATCTCAACACGAACACCGACAACTTGAAATAGTTTTCATTGCATTGTACGGTATATCAAACACAAAACAAACAAGGATCAACGTTGCTCCTTACTTTTGACAGACCTGAATCAGTTAAAGACGTGAATAATGATTACTTACTCTAAGTGCAGACCAGTTAGGGCTGGTTGAAGTTCCGGGTGGGTTACTACCGGCTGAACTACTCGGCGTGCTTGAATCTGCTTCGTTTTCTTGCGGTGGCATAGCTTAAACGTCAAATTTCACGAATTTAGCGCGTTGTTAACAGTGGACGGCAGAGAAGGAGGTCGATAAACGAGAGCAATGATCAACCACGTCGAGATAACTGAAGGATATCAAAAAGACGACAAACTACTGCAACCGAAAGCGAAAGACAGCCATCTGCCGCTAATGGAAGAAGCCGCTGATCGCTCTTTACCAGACCCCGCACCGCAAAGTCTGTAAAACCTTCCCAAAAGACCTGAAATGACCGAAATAGGGAATCACTAAGATTAATCGATTAGTTGGTGTATGTAAATTTCTTACTTACGTTGCGCGCCGTTTTACTGCATTCATGATAGTTTCTCGGGCCAAGTTTCGTTTCCATTGCAGGTGATTCCATCAGAGTGACATTTGAGTGATTTCCAAAGGGCCACGTGACAACTGTTGACTTTGGAGCGGCCGGTAAAGCAAGAAAATTTGCATTTTGGAAGACACACATTGATCACTTGATATTACTTCAGAAGGAAACCAAGCTGAAGATTTTAATTTACAGGTTAGCTCTATATCTTTATTTTCCAGTATGGCATTTTCTGGGTTTCGTTCAGTTGGACTATGCATCCTATCTAATTGTAAATTTTATCAACAAAAGGCATTTACGTGTGTTCTAACACTCACGTTTGCCGGCAAACAATTCCCGATCCTGTCTGCATTTCCTGAACAACACGGGATATTTTCGTAATCCTAAAAGGCTGACTATTCGTGCAAGTCGTATTCCAATTCATCACGCCTTGTTTCAGTTTATTACATCCGAGAGAAACTTCCTTGTCGAACACAGGTTTTTGGTGTATAATTTTATCAAGTCACGAGCTCGCTTCTGTGTGACATCTCCTCCTTTCTAACAAGTTAACGAACAAAGGGTGAATTTCGAACAATCTGAGCGATTTTCCTTAGGTGCAAGTCACGGCCCGACACAAATTTTCAGTTTCGATTTCCCCAGCTGGAAAGAGGAAATAAAATGGGCATTATGGCGCAGACCTGCGTAGGCGTAAATGTCTGTAAATAATTGAAACGAATTGTATTTTACTTGCAAATAGTGTTCAATTTGTCTATGTAAGAGTGTTTTATTGATTTTAAAATAAGGCTTTTAAAGCCGTAGAACAGAGCTAGGAGTTTTTATGAGCATCCGTATATTCTTGTAATTAGCCGCAGCCCGGTAAAACTTATGCCTACATAAACTGTCAAAACACTTGAGCGCGAGAGCCTCACGTAACCAAATATAAACATTGATGCTGACGCACTGACCTGTAGCTGTGTCACACTTCACAGCGCTCTGTGTATCGCGTGACGCACGCCCAAGCTCAGTATGTGACTGTTATGACTAAATGTGACGCAACGAACGCTTTATCTATAGACTCCAGGTGTAGTCAATCGATAAACCAATAATCGATACTAATCGATATCAATCGATATCAATTGATATCGATTGCCGATAGCAATCAATGAAAATTACACCCGCTTTCAGTGTTACGTACATAGGCGACATCTTTCGACCATCTTTCGACATGCTATGAAAGACCGTTAAACTGTGAAACTGGTAGTTTTTCCGGTTATTAGCGGAGGAAATGACAAGTAAATGATAATTACCTACC